AATTTTACTTTAATTTCTAATTTTAAAATGTTCATTTTTTAATTTAAAGCAAAAAAAAATTAATAAATAATTCAACCTTTTAAAAGTTTCAAATAAATTTATAAATTTTTAATTTTATGTCTTTAAAATTTTTAAATATTTAATAAATAATTTTATAGAATCCTAAACTTTTAAAATTATTTTGAATAAATTAAATAAATTTTAAAATAGGAGTGGGATTGGAAGTCCACTGTCGGATCAAATCCAAAAAAACAAGTAACTAAAGTACAATTTTCATTAATATTCACAACGTTTCAATAGAATACAAATTACAAAATAAATTCTAAAATTCAAAAGTACAAGAAACATGGGTGGGACTCGAGAGTCCATGTATCTAAAATCCAATTTTTCATTAATGTTCAGAACATTTAAATAAAATATAAATTAAATCTTAGAAATAAGAGAAAATATTCTACCGATAAAATAAAATATATCAAATATATTAAAATGACATATTATTAACCATTTTTATAAATAAAAAAAAAGAAACAATAAATTAGAATTAAAAGTCACTACAAATTTTGATTAAAAAAATATTGAGAGCATAATAAATTAAAATTAAAAATTTATGAATCAAATATAAATAAATAAATAAAAATTAGAAACTAAATTTATAATATTTAATGAAATAAAATTATATATTATTATTATTATTATTATTTTAATTTTGAGTTTGATGTAAATGTGTTCAGATTTTAAAGTGCTGAAAACACACCGCTGACACAATACGCGTAATTTTTAAAAATTATTTATTTAATTTTTTTCAATTTTAAAAAAATTATTTATTAAATTTTATTTCCGTCAATTTCGCTATTGTGGAGTCTCCCGTCCGAAATTCTTAATTTCAATAATCACAAAATGAAATTTAAACCAAAAATACACGACTCTAAATGTCAACCATTAACCATTTAAATATTTATTACTTATATTATATTCCCTTTAATAATATTATTTTTTAAATTAATTAATTTATTTTTTGATATTATAAAATATCAATTCAATCCTCATATACACGTTCATAAAAATTTAACACTCTATGTCGAGATATCTTTCTTCTATACTATTCTTCATATGGCTCGTTTTTTATTTAGTTTTTTCAATTTTTTTTCAAATTTTAAAATTAATTTATTTAATTTATGTGATTAATAATTTTTTTCTATTTATTCAATACCCTTTGAAAAATTATAAAAAAATTTAAAATTTTAATTTTGTTTGTGATAATTTATTTATTACTTTAAATTATATATGTTATTTAAGGTTTACTTAAATATTAAAAAAAAATATACACAATAATTATTTTTTTTAGGGAATATTAAAAATCTTAATCAAATTAAAAAAATAAAATAAAAATTAAAATAAAACTATAAATAAAAATAATTTTTATAAAATTAATTAAAAAAATTCAAAAAGTGGTATATAGCTATAATAAAAGCACTCATGTTTAATTAATGTTTAATTAATTATGTTAAGGTGAATGGTCATAAATAAATAAGAGTAGTGATTAATGGTTAATGAATGAAATTGAAAGTTAGGGCCCACCCTAAATTATTCATTTACTAAAAATCCTCTTAATTCTTTTTATTCTTATTTATATTTTTTAATTATTTAATACTCATTATTATTGAATTACCTATTTAAAAAATTATATTATTTTTTTATAAAAAATTAGTATTTAAAAACAAAAAAATATATATTTTTTACTCTAGAAAGAGGGTAAAATTAAATTGATTAACATATTAAAATTTTAATATTGTAAATTTAAATTATATTTTTAGGAAAATAATAATTGAAGATATAATAACTAAAATCCATTTTCACGCAAAAAAAAATAAAAAAAAATAATAATTTATTGGCAATTTAAAATAGATGGATAAGAAAATAATTAAAGAATTTTATAATTCTAATAAATGACGTGGCACTCCCTATATTTTTGTGGGTGTTTTTAAATTATTTCCAATTTTTTATTTAAAAATAATTTTATTTTTGTCCTTTCATGAGAGTCATTTTCAATTATTTTCAAAAACGTGTTTTTAGCAATTTAGAAAGTCGCATACTTTATTATGCTTTATTTATTATTTATTTCTTTGTATTTTTGTACAATAAATAAATTTTTTTCTTATTTATTTATGTTTTTTTTATAATATATAAGAAATAGTTAGTCAAATATTAAATACCTATTTTTTTAATCTTGATTTTTTGTTTATTAAATTATTCAATTACATAATTTTTTATTTTTCACAATTTTTTATTTTTAAAATTTTGTTTATTAAAAATATTTATTAAATTTTGTGTTTAATGGAATAAGATTTTAGGCCAAATTAATAAAATATTTTATATTTTCGTTTATAAAATATATCAGTAAAAGTTTAAATAATAATATTTAGAGAATATATTATTTATGGAATATATCTTAAATCTTAATATTATTTCTTTTTATTTGTAGTATATTTTATTTTATTCTTAATATTTAATTAGTTTATATTTTTTTTATTTATAGGTATTAGTTGCTACTTCGTATACTTTTTAAAAGATATGAAAATCAATAATAACATACCTTCGATTCCAATTTTATTGCTATTTCTCAGAGAAATATCATTAAACTTTCAAAATAGTTTAAAAAATGTCTAAAAATACGATTATGATATCACAAATTTCATTAATACACTTCAAACTTTTTTAAAAAAATTCAAAAATACTTTTACGATTAGTAACACATTTGAAAAATATTCATAAACTTTTTTAACTTATAGGTAACTTTACCGTTACTACCACGTTAAAAAATACTCGTGAATTTCTCGATTTTAAATTTTTTTAAAAATTCAAAAATATTTATTAACTTTTAAAAGTAATATTAAAAGGAATTATAAAAAATTGATTATATAAATTAAATATAAGTATGTATACAAAAAATAATAATAATACAAGTATAATATAATGATTAAATTTAAGAAATTTACAGACAATAAAAAAAGAAAATTATTTTAATTGGTGGATCTAGATCAAAGGGAATATATGAATATGATGCTTTTAGAATAAAGTAAATAAAGAAACAAAGAAATAATAATAATAATAATAAAGCTGTATGGTTTGATTAAATAACACATTGGCCCCATCTGTTTTGTATAATGAAATTAAAGGATTAATTGTATATGATATGATATATTTTTGTTAGATTATGATATTATATCGTTACATAATTATTAATAAAATATATGGTTTATAATGTTTTGGGTAGATAATGATGAATCTTCTACGTTTTTTAATTTTTTATTTATTTTGATTGGGTAAGTTACCGGAGATCCCGCGTCAGTTGGAGAGACGAACAAAACATTCCGTGTGGAAATCTCTCTCTATGCGGCTGATGGCTATACGTAACAAGTCAAAGCGGACAATATTTTCTAGCGGTGGACTTTGACTGTTACAGTTATAAAATCTTTACCCGAGTTATTAATTGGACCATGGTTAGCTTAGGTCTGGGTTGGACTCGAAAAATCAATTAAGGTTGAGCTTAACTCATGATGACCCAACATGAGTCGAAGCTAGAAGCTCAATACACCTGCTCGGCTCAACCTTCTTCCTTATTGTTTTGTTGCCTTGAGAGTGTCCAATGTCAATCCCTTGTACCTCTCTTCTGGTAAGATGTAGTCATTGCCTTTTTGAAAGTTTGCAAACGTGTTTGATGTTACAATTATGCTTGTCCAAAGCGTGTTACCTGCGGCCCCGTGTCGGATATCCTGATCATGCTTGTCTATGACGTGCTATCCATGGCCTCGTGTTCATTCCAAATCTCTTTTATTTGCTTTCATGTTATATATGTCTTTATTATTCTTGTTGTATCAATACATGGGTATATGACCGATCACAAAAATTATGTCTGCACTTGTTAGGCCTAAAATGCCCCAAAATGTACGATAGAGGGATGTGACTATTTGCCAATTATTTATATTCTCGTTATATGCTATCAAAATTGTGGTGGTTATTTATTCGCTTTTACCTTATAACATTCATTCCTTTCAAATTATTTTCAATGCAATACCTCGGTCACATATTTTAAAACATTTCTTTCAAACGTGACTCGAGGCTCGATCATACATCAAGACTGTCTGCAAAGTTTGACTTCTGTACGACTAATTTGTTTGTCGAATTAGAATAAGTACTGTACAATAACTACCACCGCATTAACCATTTTTTTTTTTTTTTTTGTTTGAATTGATATCCTACCTAACATAAATTTAATCAAATAGTAGGTGAGAAATACCAAAGTAGTGGCCATGAAAAATAAAAATAAAACCCCAACAAACAATATATTCTTAAAATAAAAACCTTATTATAAAATATATTATATAGTTTGGTACATATGTCACCAAGCCTTGAATTGGATATGAAAGCTACATTCATTCCATTCTTTAATTATTAAAAAATTAATAACTTGTACCAACAAAGTTATATTCAAATGAATTTTCTTTCGTGACTCGATCATTAATCATACATTAGTAATAATTTAGCAAGAAATTTAGTAGAATTGAGTTAAATTTAAATACTCGTTTTATGTTTATTCCAATTAATGAAGATTTTTGCTGACGGATACGTAATGGGTCGAAGCGAACAATATCTACTAGCGGTGGACTTATTAAATATGTGTACGTGTGTGTCGAGTTATCTGTGTTTGCAGGCATGTATGTGTGCATGTGTGTGTTATGTGGGGCGGGGACAAGGATGAGAAATTTAATCCTGTCCCGACCCCATTTATCTAACGAAGAAAAATCTCCCTATCCTCCGTTTAAACGGATAATCTCCTTCCATTCAAAACGAGTCCCTACAAAACCCCGACCCGGCAGGTAAAATAGACATCTACTAAACTCATAATTGCCTTCCAAGTAGAAGTCTTTAAATAACTAAAACTGTTATTTATTATAGAATTAGTAGATCAATGTAAAAAGTGGGATCCCTCTCTCCCCAAATGCAATAAACTGAACATAAAAGAGGCATCACAACATCCTCAAAAGTGTTCTACACGGTGTTCATATGTCCCGATGACCCAAACAACACATTCTATCCAACCCAAATCATAGCAAAACATCAAAAAGGGACCCAAGTGGCAAAGGCAATCTTTACCATTACAAACTTGCAAGTTCTGGACACAAACATGTCGAATAAAACGACCAACAAACCGAACACGGTTTAGCTTCCCATCAGCTAGATTTCCAAGAAGACAGTTGAGTGAGAGCAGCCTCCTGATGAAGGGGGCGCACATGGCAGACTTTGATATCATTTTATGCAACCACTGGTTGATTTTCGGGTCGTCGGGACTCAGTTACAGGCTCCACAGGAAGTTCTTTCTATACATCATTTGAAACCCTACAACTAACTACAAGAAAACCTCCTAAAGTGACAAATATTCAGATAGAAAGACTTGCAGAATCAAGCAAAGGTTTCTGATAGCTTTGAAAAACCGAGTTTTCTAAGTCGACTTGATAGAGGACGACTAGACCAAGCTCTATCCGGGTTATTACACTTAACGTCCACAATCGGAACTGCTCTAAGTCCTTTCCTTTCTGGTTTCTCTCTATAGCTATTTCCATCTGTATAAACATCATTAGAACCAAGCATTGGCATACGATGGACATCCCTTGAACCGGCCTTAGTAGCATTATGGGACTTCCCAAAGCTTCGGTTATTAACAGTATTATACCTTCTATTGCTTACCTCGTCGAACGACTTACTTTGTTGTAGTCTGTTAGGAATGGATGCAGCGTCGAACGATTTACTTTGATGTAGTCTGTTGGGAATGGAAGCAGCAGATGAAACAGTCCTAGTAGCAGATGAAGATTTGATTTTGGAAGCTACCGGCTTTTTCGGGACAGATCTCATAGACTCTAATTCCCTCATCATTAGGGAGCTAATCGTTCCGGTGGCTCCGACGTTAATGGATCCTCCACCTCCTTTGATAGGTTGCAGTTTCTGAACCATGATTTTTTCAGATAAGTATCTCTTAGGAAGGAAGAGGAAGATTATTCAACAATCCATTATCATATCATCACCTGAAATAGAAGTAGAGAACTGTAAGAATTGATTGTAACACAGGGTGATCCTGCAAATTGGAGTTCATAAGACTCAGAAACAAAGAAGTGGATAAATTACTATTATATTCAATCCACCACAGAATCATACAGGGAGAGGAGGCCCGGACGATATAGAAACTAAACGAGCACAGCAACGAGTTCATGTGACAGAATGGAATGGTTAAAATGATTCTTGAAAACGAAACTACTAACATGAGAGAAAATGTAATGAAAATTGCGGGAAGAGGCCCAATAGCTTATGAAAGAAAACTTAGGACCAAAAGCCCAAAGGGGGAGGAATTAAACTGGGCGGAGTGGCTGGTGGTTTCGGGATCTCGTTGAAAATGCTTCTTTTACGCCTCACGATTCCAAAAATCATCAACTCATAGAAAGAAAAAAACAGTGCCATACTTCCCACAAAAAGAGCAACTTCAAAGACAGAGAGTCAAATCCTACTCTCCCATTTGCATACAACAAACACAAAAAGGAAAGATCTCTAGACAACATTGAAGATATGAATCCACCCATAAGAGACATGCCAAGCAAAGAACTTTTAACAGCTTAGGAATGCAAATCTTCCTTAGTTTTGCGGAGTAAAGATTTGACAAAGAAAAAAATCCAAGGATTCAAGAGACCAGATGAGCTCATCCTTGAAGCATAGATCTAAACAGACTCCCTGAATCAAAGTCAAGAGAATAAAGCTCAAATTGCTTATAATCAAACAAGGTCTTTTCCAAAATGGATGTCATTTGAGCAAAGGAACCTGAAATGGGGGAGACCTTTGCAAGGAAAGATCACGAAAGGCTCTATATCTAATCCGTCGAATCTCCCATAGACGAACACGAGTCATGTCTCCCACGAAACTCGAAAGAGTAACAAATCGAAGAAAACGGTGCAACTAATGGAGGATCGTTTTCCACAAATTTCTAGAGACGCCATTGCCAACGAACCAATTTCAATGGAAAACACCACAGTTAGTTCGAAAGGACAGTGTTCTTGCTTACTATCTACTCCCTCTGCCCCACACAATTGATATCATTCAATTAAGATTAGAAGTTATCCACAAAATTCGTAAAGCAAATCCACATCAAAAGTCATTCAAATCAACATTAAAAGTATATCAGCTTGAACATCACATCAACAACCAGAGTTAATGAGCTCCAATCAAAGAAGTGATAATCAAAAAGGCCACTCAAAGCGATTCAAACAATGTATCAAAGAAGAAACAACCAACAAAATCATCAATCGCTTCAGAAAAGAACACATCATCCATTAATCAAAGGAAGATGAAAAACCAAAAACAAGAACACTTCACCAATAACGAGAGAGAAAGAGAGCATACCACAAGAGAAAATCGGCAAAATCTGCAGCCAAGAAGGGAAGATCAAAAGGGGGAAATAGGGTTTTTAAGTTATGAACCGAAAATGGCAACAAAATCTGAAGCTCCGGAGAAGATTGAAGGATGAAATTAGATCTCAAATTGTAATGATCTCCATCTCCAAAAAAGTTTGGCCATCGTCCTTTCTTCATCAATCACGCTCGGCTTTCCCCCACAAACAAATTTTTATTTTCATATACCAATTTCATTTTTAATACTTTTTTTCTTTTTTCTGGGTAAAGTAAGAACTTTCTCTTTCATTTCAGATCATTTTTTCTTTTTATTTTTATTTTTTAAAAAAATCAAACTTTAATGGTTGAAATATTCATTTTTTTTATTAGTTGACCTTTTAGATTAATTTTAATTTCATCATTTTGGATAAAAATATCATTTTGATTTTATTTGATTTAAAATACTTTTATCCATTGGAGAGGAGAACGAAACACTCTTCATAAAGATGTGGAAACCTTTTACTAGCAGACGCGTTTTAAAGCTGAGGGGAAGCGTGAAAGAAAAAGTCCAAAGAGAACAATAACTGTTAGCAGTAGGCTTGAGTCGTTACAAATGGTATCAGAACTTGACATGGGGCGATGTGCTAGCGAGGAGTCTATTTTCCAAAGGGGAATAGACATGAAGCGGAGTGCCAGTAAAGAAGTTGGGCCCCAAAGGGGTGGATGGATTTGGTGGGGGTCTCACATCGATTGAATAAAGGAACGAGTATCGACGAGAACGCTAGGCCCTGAAAGGGGGTGGATTATGATGTCTCTCATTGGTTGGGGAGGACGATATCCCAAATTGGTTGGGGAGGATGTTGGGTCCTGAAAGGATATGAATTGTGATATCCCCATTGGTTGGGGAGGACGCTGAGCCCGGAAAGAGGGTGAATTGTGATATTTCACATTGGTTGGAGAGAACACTCGGCCCTGAAAGGAGGTGGATTGTGATATCTCACAGTCGTTGGGAGGAGAACGAAACACTAGGGTGTGGAAGGGAAGCCCGAAAGAGAAAGTTCAATAATTATTAATTTAAATTTAATGGAAAAATACATTTAAAAGTTAAAAATTTTAATTTTGGGTAAAAGAGAAAAAAAATAAAATACTAAATGGCATTATATGACAGTTTGGCCACCTAATATTAGCTGGCTCTCCATCATTAATTGGTAAAATTCAATTTACAAAAATTATAATAATAATAATAATAATAATCCCAAATTTAAGTTAATATAAATTGTGATTAGAAAATTTTAATATCTAAATTATCGACATATGTATATAATAATTTAATGAACGGTCTGTTATCGATATAATGGAAGTTCTTGGTCTGTAAAGATACAAAAAATTTAAATTTATAAATTCATAGGGTTTTAAATTTTTTTAAATTTAATGATCTACCAAATACAAAATTAAAAGTTTAGGGTTTTATTAGACATAGGAGGGAAGAACTTTTAGGGCTACCAACCCTCAAAACATGTCAATATAGAATAGCAATTGTTCGATTATAGCTACTTAAGTCCACTGTTAGCAGAACTGCTTAAGTCCACTGTGTTCGATTATAGCTGTAACTGCTTAAGTCCACTATTAGTAGAAATTGTCTGCTTTGGTCTGTTACACATCACTGTTATCCTCACGGTTTTTAAAACGCGTTTTCTAGGGAAACGTTTCCACACCCCTTATAACAAATGGTTTGTTCCCCTCTCCAACTGATGTGGGATATCACAATCCACCTCCATTGGGAACTTAGTGTCATTGCTGGCACACCACCTGCTATATGACTTTGATCCCATTTGTAACAACCCAATGGCTCGTTATACATCACCATTAGCCTCACGATTTTTAAATGGGTCTGCTAGAGAAATGTTTCTACACCCTCATGAGGAATGTTTCGTTTTCCTCTCCAATTGATGTGGGGTCTCACAATATCCTAACCCGTTGCTTCAACTATTCGATATGAAAGACAACCAACTACAACTTTTAGTGTCATATCTTCAAGTCGTGTATCTTTCGATTTACAACCCCTACTACATCTATCCCGACCTTTGATAAATGTATATTAAGTTAGCAAACGTTCGAAGGGTAAAAAAATCTTTGTAGAAGAATCTCTATTGAAGACCAAATGGATAGACATTTCTCCAAGGAATTTATGAAGTTTGTACACAAATTTGAACTTGAACGTGGTTTCCACTTTCCAACCCCATTCTTCTTCTTCCTTATTTAGCACCTCCATTGCTATGAACTCCATTTCTCGAGATCTCTTTTTTGAGCTTTTCCTTTCAAGCTTTCCTTTAAGGTTTTTAAAACGTGTCTGCTAGTGAGAGGTCTCCACCCTCTTATAAAGGGTGTTTCGTTTTCCTCCCTAACCGATGTAGATTTTACGATCCACCCCCTTCGATGCCCAGCGTCCTCGCTGGCGCTTGGTCCCGATGTTTTGTTCTCCTCCCCAACCAATGTGGAATCTTACAATCTACCCTTTTGGGGCCAACATTCTCGCTGACACTCGTTCTTTAGTCTAATTGATGTTGGACCCCACCAATCCACCCCTCTTCGGGACCCAACGTCCTCACTGGCACATTGACTCATGTCCACCCCCTTCGAGGCTTAGCCTCCTCACGGGCACATTGCCCGAGACCCCACCACTCCACCTCCTTCGAGACCCAGCGTCCTTGTGGGCACATCGCCTCATGTCCACCCCCTTCGAGGCTCAGCCTACCAACTGACATATTGTATGGTGTCTGACTCTTATACCATTTGTAGCATCCTAAGCCTAAGATATTGTCCTTTTTAGGCTTTTCCTTTCAGGCTTCTTTCTAAAACGAGTTTGCTAAGGAGAAATTTCTATATCCTTATAAGCTGTGTTTCGTTCTTCTCTCCGAGTGACGTGGAAATCTTACCCAATGGGCCTCCAAGAATGATCCAAAAATTCAGAAAAGGGGGGAAATAAAGCGGTTAAAGCAGTCATACAGGTCTCGTTTGGCTATCAATTCGAAAAAACTTCGTGATTTTAGCCCTCATTTCTACTTTGATTGCTGACCCACAAGACTTGCTTCTCACTTCTCCCATTTCTTCCCCACCTTCCTTCCATTTTTGTCTCCTGCAAGCTTCCCACCTTCTTCGAATCGACTGATCTTCTTCTTCTTCTTCACCTGCATTCTTGTTCCTTAACCTCCATTGAAGCTCTGAATCGAGTCTCCGCCATTGCTTTCGTTCATAATGAGTTCTCAAGCACCCAAATCATCGAAACCCACAAAACCCCCAATTCAATCGCCGCCCACATCCAGATCCTCGGTTTCTTCTCTATCTTCCCATCTCGCCATGGTTGAACTCAAGCAAAGGATTCTCACCGCTATCACTAAGCTCTCCGATCGAGACACCCACCAGATCGCCATTGACGACATGGAGAAAATCATCCAGTCCATCTCCCCGGAAGCCATTCCTATGCTGCTTAATTGCCTCTACGACTCCTCTTCCGACCCAAAACCCGCTGTGAAGAAAGAATCATTGCGGCTTTTAACACTCGTTTGTGCTTCTCATAGCGATTCTACTTCCACCCATTTGACTAAAATTATAGCCCATATCATAAGAAGGGTTAAGGATGCGGATTCTGGCGTGAAGGATTCGTGTAGAGATGCCATTGGTGCACTGTCGGCGCAGTATTTGAAAGGGGATAGTTCTGGTGGTGATAATGGAGGTCTTGGCTCTGTGGTGGCTTTGTTTGTTAAGCCTTTGTTTGAGGCTATGGGAGAACAGAACAAGGGCGTTCAATCTGGTGCCGCATTATGTATGGCTAAGATGGTGGAGTGTGCCGCCAGCCCACCCATCATGGCGTTTCAGAAGCTTTGCCCCAGGATCTGTAAGTTGCTCAACAATCCAAATTTTTTGGCAAAGGCTTCACTCTTGACTGTGGTATCCAATTTATCACAGGTTCGTTTTACTCTCTATTTCATTGTTTTTTCCATCATGGTATGGTATTTAAGCTTAGATTCATGAATAACTAATGATATTTAGAGGGGAGTGAGGACTAAGAAACAGGGCACTATGACAGTATAAGAAGAAGAGGATAGTTTAGTCGAATGCTCATTTGCTAGACCTCGTTCAATCCTTCAAAGGCGAAGGAGAAAGAACTAAACACCTATTCTATTTGCCGAGTAGAGGCCAAGGGATTGGATTTCACCTATGATCAGATTAGTGGGTTATCATAGTTGACCTTTTTCGTGGTGTTGTTGAAAGTGAATTTGGAAGTAGGCCTTGCTTTTTAGAGCTGCTCCTAGCTCACACTATAATGGAGGAGTTGTCGTGAAGATCTAGGAGTGTGAGCAGTATGAGTTGAAAGGCTCCCATACTGTTTGGAGGGTAGGGGGGCATAGATGCCAAACAAACCTGACCCGACCAATGTACCTTGCAGCTCGTACTCTTTGTTGACCATAATCAACGAACCCAGTTACCATAGAGAACATATTGTAATATCTCTGAAGAATTGGATTTTTCTTTCTCTCTTGTTTGAGCAAGTCGTGAATATATGATACGGTATTCCTTTACGGTTAAAATATTTACATATGATAGATTGTTTAGTTTTTATGAGAAACCAAAGGCAATTTATGATGATCCAATGACTTGTTTTAGGTCGGTGCCATTGGACAACAGAGCTTGGAACATTTGCTACCAAGTATTCATGAGTTACTTGGGAGCACTGATTGGGCAACACGCAAGGCAGCAGCTGATGCACTAAGTGCATTAGCATTGCATTCAAGCAATTTCATAACAGATGGAGGTGCTTCCACTTTGGCAGTTCT